CTCGTCTCTCTCTCTCTCGTCTCTCCTCTCCTCTCTCTCCTCTCTTCTTCTCTCCTCTCTCTCTCTCTCTCTCTTCCTCCTCTCTCTCTCTTCTCCTCGTCTCTCTCTCTCTGGATGTCAGTGCTTGGCCTATATTATTACAGGACTAAATAATTGATGTTCCTACTAAATGTTCCGGCTGGCACGTCCCACCTTCAAACACGACTGTCATTTTTGGCCCATTTGAAAAAAGGCTACTTACCTCACACAACTTTTCTATGGTAACATAACATACTTCCTACAGGCCACTGCACCCTAGTTCCTAACAAAAACAGGTAACCGGCAGTAACAAGAACACACCCCCAACCTGTTTATTTTCAGGTTTATTGATTAGCACTTAATGAAAGACATATGCTATGAATACGCTTTAAATAAACTTATCTCTGCTAATAGATCCTCCTAAAATGTTTACGACACTGGACCTTGTAATATAACCAGCACTGTTGCAGCCAAACTATGTAATTCTCTCCTAACTTTATGTTTGTAAATGTCTACATCCTGAGGCTCAGCTAACTAATAAGTTAGTTCAGTTTGCACCACAATTACTTTGTGGCATAAACTAATTCTATTTTGCCGTCATGGTTAACCAAATTCATCTTCAATTCGAATTTTATGTCTATAGCTACATGCGCCAAGTCATAACAGGAAGTTTATCTCAGGACCACTTTTCAATAGAGCCAGGTCTAGGACACGAACTCCCTTAATCAGACATTCCTACAGAGACCACGACAGATCAACCACCATTGAGGCAAGTGGGACTAGAGCTAGCATATTTTTAATAGATACGATAGATAGATAGATTAGATAGAGGCTAGAATAAGATAGGATAGATCGGGGATAGATACGATAGGATAGGATAGATAGAATAGAGTACCGATAGGATACGATAGATAGACTAGACTGCATAGCCATGAGTAGGACTAATAACGACTAGATAGAATGATGAGCCATGTGTTATCTACAGAGGGAGTTGGCGTCCTTCGTTCTCGAGGAGTCATCCACATTTGACACCTCTGTGTTTTCTACAGTACCCGTAGAATGTCAGAAACCAAAGGCTTGTTTTGTAACCAATCAGCCGTTTAGACTCCACAAATGCCAACAGCACCCAGTAACCTCTACACCCGGCTGATTAAGGACTGGTTTTAACTTTAACCTAACGAATGCACTCATTTGCCACGATATCCTATATTCTGTAAATGCACAATGTACAGGTTTAGTTTTTTAGTTTTGTTTAGTCTCCATGATGGGCAGCTCAAAATATTTTGGCACACCACTTTACTGAATATTGCATATAGTGTATCAATATTTTTCCATTATGTCTTATATTTGTTCGCTATTACTATCTTTTATGATATTTGTATGTATTCCTTTCATTGTACTTTTTACACTTCTCTTACTTCTTGGCACTACAATTCCCCCGTATTGCTGCTGTGTCTGACTTGAATTTCTCCTACAGGGGATCAATAAAGGAACATCTTATCACTGGCTGTAGATAGGGCCTTTCGTGGGTTTTGCAGCCACCGTAGTTTCTCCTATATGCTTGGCAGACTGAGCAGTATTCAGTTGGTTGCATTCTGCAACTTCACCGCCAGATGCCACTAAATCCAACACCTTTTAAAATCCTTTTAAAACATTCTGCATATTGCTTCAGGTGTTCAGAATAACCTAGCTTATTGCTTTTACCACTTTCATACTAATTGATGGCAGATCTAACAAGCTGAACTTACTCTGAAAATACTTTAGTATGTTTAAGACATGTAGTGTTTAAATCATCCAGCTTCCATTAACTCCCCCCCTCTCTTTCCTACCTGTCCTATTGTCTCCACAGTAACGGGTCCAGCCTATGAGAATCTGGTGTCAGAGATTATGTCTATGGGTTATGAGCGGGAGCAGGTAGTGGCTGCACTCAGAGCCAGTTACAATAACCCAGACCGAGCAGTGGAGTATCTACTCATGGTGAGGATAGAACCAGCCTGTGTGCTTTATTCCCAGCCCTGCCTGTCTGCCACTGTATTCTAGAGTATGTACTAAATGTTTATGTACTACAGGGTATTCCAGCGGAGGCCAATGATCTTCCATCTCAGGAGCCAGTTAGACAGAGTGCTCCATCCAACCCCCTTACCCCTGCTACACAACAACCACGGCAGCCCCCAGTAGCCTCAAGTAAGATCACATCTTTATTTTCAACCACAGGACTGTGGTCTAAATTATTATTGTTAATAATTAATTACTTAGCCAAAATGGACCCAAAAAATTCCCCACTCTATGGGGAAGTACTTGCACATAGGAGAATCGCGTTTGCTTAGTTGTCATCATGTGACAACTCTACAGCAAAGAACAACACATCTGAGTAGGTTCTTCAGATGTGTTGGAAAGAAACACAAATGGCCGAATTGGACTTTTAGTTCCTGAGTTTAGTTTAGAGACCCCTTAGTGTACTACATTATACTCATATTAATTTAGGATGACAGTAACATTGGTTAAAAAATATGTGCTATATCTGGCTACCCATCTGGTTATTTTGTCTATAAACCGACTCTCTGAAGATCTTATCTTATCTTATCACACTAAACAGCAACAGTAACCAGCCTGTCCCCTCCCCAGCAGGGCCAGTGTCTGGCAGCCAACCTGCCCCAGCAGAGCCAGTGTCTGGCAGCCAACCTGCCCCAGCAGGGCCAGTGTCTGGCAGCCAACCTGCAGGTGGAGGTTCTGTCTCAACCGGGAACCCTCTGGAGTTTCTGAGGAACCAGCCTCAGTTCCAGCAGATGAGACAGATCATCCAGCAGAACCCAGCCCTTCTACCAGCCCTGCTGCAGCAGCTGGGCAGAGACAACCCGCAGCTGTTGCAGGTACTACACCAGCACCACACTACTGTGGCTTCCTGCAAGGGGTTAAAGTTAGTGAGGTAGTAAGAAATCTTAGAAAACTGTTAACTGAGGAGTAAGAAAAAGGAAAAAATATTTTTTTATGTGTGGACATTTTCTCAAAGATCAAGATTGAAAGGGCCTTTTTGATCAGTTTTGCTGCTTTCTTAAGATTGACTTAACTTAGTTGTGTGAGAAAAAATTACCACTGTGCCACACAAATCTATATATATTCTACATAATATATACACAGCCAGTATACGTTTAAATCATATTTAGAAATTGTGAATGAGGTTCTGCTACAAAAGTCTGACCAAATACATCCTCCACCATCATGGAGGTCAGTTTACCATGTCTGCTGTATACTGTTTGAATGGGCAGTTCATATAGCGCTCTGTGTCACTTTGGGGATAGGAACCCATGTATGCTATTACTGATATTGTTTGTATGTATTACATTACTTGCAGCAAATCACACAACACCAGGAGCGTTTTGTGCAGATGCTGAATGAGCCACGAGGTGGAGACACGGGAGGGGAGGGGGCCGAGGCCCAGGGGTCACCACACACCAACTACATCCAGGTCACCCCACAGGAGAAGGAGGCTATTGAGAGGGTCAGTTACCAGTGTGTATATAAAGTCCCATTGAATTGTCTTGTTGTCTGTGATCAGAATAGGTTCAAACTGGCTTTATTAATAGTCAGTTAAAGAACACAAATCTATGACATTTATTTCACTTTTCAACAAGATCTTGGACTGTACGGGAGGGGGAGAGCAAGGTGAGATTTTCCAGTAGTTAATTGATTGCGGATGGTATCTCTCAGGCAGATTAAAGAATGAGAATAAAGTCATGCTCAGCACCTATTGTTTTGTTAGAAAGCCTTATTGTATTGATAACATAAGGTGTTGACTGCGACTTGCCGTTTTTTCTGGATGTCCTGATTTGAAGTCCTACTGTATACTGCCTCCACAAGTTGCTATAGAATGAGGAGGCATTTAGTGCAAAATAACTCATGAAAACTGTTGCTCTTGGCCCCTCAAAATCAAATCTAAATAAAAAATCATGACATGTTTTTTTATTTTTCCATAATAACAAAATCTTATAATAATGTAAAACTAAATCAGAATCAGACTCGGTTTTATTGCCAAGTAGTTTTGACATACAAGGAATTTGCTTTGGTGCATGACAATAAACATATAAATAAAGGTAACAATAAAGAGAGACAATATATACAAATATAAAAAGAGACAATATGTACAATATGACCATTATTTGAATAAATGAATGAAGAGCTGTACAGTTGTACAGTGCAGGAATATGCAAAATATTGTCCAGGGAATTTGCAAGTTAGCAGTATGACGCATTAAGGACATTTGCAATGTGCACGATATAATCTAAGAAATGTGTATTAATGTAACATATAGATTCACCGTTGGTGGTGGGTATAAAAGTCAGTCTCAGTTGGTTTAAAAGATTAACCAATCTCAACAGATTAACCAATCTGATTTGGTATACTCTTATATCCTGTTGTCCATGTTTGCATGTATTCATAAGTGCGTGTGGCTTTACCAGTAACCGTCTCAGTCACAGCTGCACTGATGTATGTGTGTCTAACATGGACTTTTGTGTTTTGTTCCAGTTAAAAGCGCTGGGCTTCCCAGAAGGCCTAGTCATCCAGGCTTACTTCGCCTGCGAGAAAAATGAGAATCTGGCCGCTAACTTCCTGCTACAGCAAACATGGGACGATGAGTAACCACACGTCACCTGACACATCACCGTCCAACTGAGGGCTGCAGAGTGGATGACAGCACTGCAAGAGGTCCACCAGGGAGGAACAGGGACAGGAGAGAAAGAGGACATTTTATTTCATGCCATGTGACATTGGTTTGATGATGGTGATGATGATGATAAAGTTCAAAGTTAGCTGCATACTTTTCCATTCTGCTGTGATGATCATCATAGGAGCTCACACTGAGCTGTGCCTCACTGCTGCCGCTTGTGCCAAGTGATGTGCCCAGAGAAAGTCATGCCAGAAAATACGTCAGCAGTCTGCATCACTTTCACGGGCTGAAGGCTTTTATTTAGAGGGTTTCAGCTGCAGTCAGCTCTCAGGCTGCCGGTAGAACATGGTAGACTACTGTACATGCACAGTATATTCACCTCAGAGTGAGTGAATATACACATTCATTCACACTCATTTTCAACATGCGTGTATGCAAACCCTCCATGTTGGATTTATCTGAAAATGTGATGCAAACTGATGTTGACCATGCAGATGTGGTTTTATCAATGGAACATGAAAACTGCATGGTGATTGAAATTGCTACAGGAGTATCTGAAACTTTATGGCCCGTTTCTGCCAGTAAAAGATAAATTAAATTAAATGCTAGGAATGACAGATTTAAAGTACTTAAATTACTTAACTTTAAAGCTGCAGTAGATAACTTTTATAAAAATAACCTTTTAGTTACAGTTGACTGTTGATTCTCATTCTCAGGTCAACAAATACCAATGCTTGGAATGAAACTATATTCAAGCCTCCAACCCAAAGTGTCTTTCTATCTTTCTTGGCTCTGATTGGTTGTTTTCATTCAGGTCGAGTGGATTCTTGCAAATGCCATTAGGACCTGACTTTTTCCCAAACTATCGGTCTCATGTGCTACTGTCAGGATATAGTAAAAGTTTCGGCAAATATGAAAAAAGTTATTTTTAGAAAGGTTACCTACTGCAACTTTAAATCCAATTTTTGGCTAGAGTCGAGATTACGAGACAGTAAGTGAATGTCTCTGTTTGAAGTTTTTTTATTAGTTTTAAAATCATTTTGACTTTCTCAGAATTTTTGCATTAGTATCTCATAATTTTGACTTCTTATTGAAATATTTATTACTTAGTATCTAAATGTTTTGACTTTCTTTATTTTGACTCACTGACATTGACTTACTTCTGAGTCAGAGTATTTTTATTTTTATTATTTTCAACTGTTGTTTCTTTCTTTTTTGTTGATTATTATTATTTATTTTTCTTTTCATTTTTTTGTTGTTGCAGAAATGGGCTTCCAAAATCTGTAGACATTCAAAGTTTGATCAAATCCGTCTGGGTGGTTGCACTGCATTTGGAACATTCAATCATAGTATTTTATCATTGCTTGTTATGGGGATTATGTGTGCTGTGGTATTGTGTTTAGTGGGATAAGATGGGACACCCAGATGCAGCGCTTGGCTTGTATTGCCATCATGGTCTTTCGCAGTGGTGGGTTTGTTTCTTTTCTTATTTTGCAGATGATGGTAACTGAAGGTTTATTGTGAGGTGCCACATAGCATGCTTTGTGAGCTTGACTTTTTATTTTAAAGAAAAGTTCTGTTTCCTTAGCTGGAATGTTCAAACATCGTCCACTAGCTACTTTTAGACAATCCGTTTTTGTTCAGTTTGTCTCATATCACATATTCTATGCATCTTAAAGCTGTAAGAGCCATTGCTCCTTCATGCCTTATGGGTTGTTAAAGACTTCAACATGTTTCATTTTACAAATGGTGTGGTAGTACAATATAGTGTTTCAGATATCTCAGAGTGTCATCGAATTTAGAGTTTTAATTATTGATGATTAATCAGTTATTGTTTTGGTCGACTAAAGGGAGTTCTAAGTGCTAGAAGCCAAAACAAAACAAATATTTTTTCAGCTTTCAGCATGTGCTTTGCTGTTTCTCATTTTACTTCTCTTTATTGTGTTTGAACTTGAAATGACTGGAAGTTTTGTATTATATTGTAAATGGGGTCTACAATTTTGGGGAAAAGGCACTTTACTATGACAAATGCTGCTCTTTAGCTGTGAGGGTTTGTTGGTTGCATGAGATTGTTACAGTTATTTATAGCATGGCAGTGGGTTAGGAATGATGAAACCACTAGTGTGGTGTTGCTCTCATCTCAGTTTTTGTTTTCTTTTTAGGTTTATAAAAAATATAACCTTAAATACACCAGTTGAGGTTTTGCTGAATAGTTGTGAAAAACGTATGTTTCAGCACTGTGTAAAATAAATGGCTTTTACAAAGTAGGTGAGACAAGGTGCTTTTTTTTTTTATTATCAGGAATTAACATATTTTCACTGTGTCCACTTCTCAGGTTACTTTTAAAGCTGCAGTAGGTAACCTTTATAAAAAAATTACTTTGCTACAACTTTCCCTATATCTTAACAGTAGTACATGAGACAGATAAACAATAAGGTACCTCTGGCTCATCCTAGTGCCCGTAATGGTATTTGCAAGAATCCGCTGAATGAAAACAACCAATCAGAGCCAAGAAAGATTGAAAGACGCTTTGGGTTGGAGGCTTGAAGATAATTGATTGTTAAGTCTCATTCCCAGCATTGGTGTTGTTGCAAATGTCAATAAATTTCAATTTTCAATTCATAATAAAAGTTATCTCAGGACACTTTTCAAATAGAGCAGGTCTAGACCTTACTCCTTATAACATTATTTACAGAGACCCAACAGGTCCCACCATGCATTTCAGAACACTGAAAAAACAGGATAGTAAAATTTAAAATGATGCAAATTTAACTTAAATCCAAAAATGGAAATAACTCTATTAAAACAAGATAATTATAGTTAGACAAATTCAGATGAATCCAAATAAGAAGATGTATTGAAATCCAGAATCTTTGACAACAAAACAAAACCTAATTGGCTAAGGGGAACACACTATATTATAAGGAGTTCGGTCTAGACNNGACGGCCACTGGCCGATTCTACATGTCGAATCGGCCAAAATGAACGCCGACTGACGACGGCACGGGACACACCGAACCGACTCGAGCCACCGACCTCGCCCGACTGTCCGATGACGTCCGACGGCCGATAATCGGGTTGGTGTGCAGAGGCCTTTAGGCAAGGGTGTCTAGTGACACGTACTTGGCCCCAAACACCTTAGAGACTCACTGTCTAAAGATATAGTTACTCTAGATGGCATTACCTTGGCCTCTGGGGCGGCTGTGGCTCAGAGGCAGAGCGGGTCATCCCCCAATCATAAGGTTGTTGGTTCGATCC